TAGTATAAATTCATGCCTCATACAAACAGATTTGTATTCAGGGAAATCATTGAGTCTCGATGCTATTTCAAGAAGATTTTGAGTTGAATTCTTCAGCCATGTGGAGGAAAGCAGAAGGACACGGAGAAAAGAGAATTCAGAAATCCACATAGGCAACGTTTTTGCTGCACTCTCCTCATGGCTCCTCAGGTTGAGTCGCGTATGATGATGTTTCTGTGGTCCATCAGCAGATTGAAGAGGAGGGATGGCTGCACAGGCCAAGAATGGTTTCAGTATTACTTTCTTTCATTATGCCTGGTATAAAAAATATGGGCTGTTAATACAAGCCAGCTCCGATTAGGTCAGAATAAGTAGAAGCAAACGGGAGTTGGGAAAGAGGGATTAACACAAGTATTCACAAACAATAAAGACAGTATTCTTGGTTCTTTCGGTAAAGTCACGTAGAAGGGAAATAATAAAATAATACAAATAAAACAATAAAATTCTCATGACGTTTCGATTGCAACACAAGCAATCGTTGCTGTGATTTTCACACCTGATGATGATTGTTTGTGTTGCAATCGAAACGTGAGAATTGTGTTTAATTATAATTATTTTATTATTTCCCTTCTACGTGACTTTACCGAAAGAACCAAGAATATGAATCCCTGCAGTAACAAAAGCTTGAAATCGAAAAATAAAGACAGTAGCAAATATAATCGTTTAAGATGACCGATACTTGCCAAATCTTTTACATGGACAATGTTTTTCAATGCAGAGATGTGTATTTTGTAATGTACCTCTATATTGTCTATAACGGGACATTAGCTACACAGATGTCTGCGTCATTGCTCGAGTGCTTTCGTGGTTTTTGAAGGTCGAAAATAGAAAGAAATCACAGTGGAACAAATGAGTAGAAATTGTGGAGAAACCCATTGCAGCAACGTTACGCTTTTGTCAACATTCCCATGGGATAATTACGTTGTGAAGCAAAGATGTACCCTTTGAATGCATGAATTTGCGCTGTCATAACCATGTATGATAATAATGCACGAACATAAATAAATATTACATGTCAAATGACATCTCACAACTTTGCAAACAGCATGTGCCACACAAAGTTCAACTCTTTGTTCACAATGCGAATCTTACAAAGCACCGTTCGGACCTTTGCTGCCAAAACTGTCTCTGTCATGTCGCGCAATTTTGTGCGATGCGGTTTGGCTTGATGGGTGAGAATCAAAGATGACAGTTTCACGTTGAACACCTTTATGCCCTGCCCCAAATCAGTGGAAAATCCATTCGGTAGTGGCATTAAACAACAAAACCATGGAACACACGAAGCAATATAACAAGTTAGCTGCCGATTGCTGTCGTTGCCCAAAACAGATGTGGAAGTCAGTCGCTAGTTTTAATTAGTGACACTCCAGTTGATAATTATAATTGCTGCGATGCTCTGTGTCACACATACCTGCCACATCTAGCTGAAACGAATAGAATCCATTGCATGAGTGCATACATACATACATACACATGTCCCATTCAAACTCAGCTATGCGTGATTAACACTTACTGTAAAACCAAATTGCACAATGCACGTTCTATAAATGTGAAAATGCTCTTAAATATGTTCAATAAAACAATACTTGGTGTTTTCCATCAAAAATGCCATCACCATACTTTTACACATCATTGTAGAACGCTAAAGGGATGATGGTCCATGGTTAAGAATACCAACGGAGTGCCAATTAAGGAATGTAACGCGTCCAGGACATCCACGACGGATATGGAGCGTGAAATCAGCTTGTGTAGGTGCTAGGTGGATCACTGCATCGTAGGATCGTGATAAGTGGTGGTGGCTTGTTGAGTCCTTAATCCAGCAGTGGGTTGACCGTGGCTGATATATCGGGAGTGCATTGCAATACAATTACATTATTGCACCTCGGAGTCCTCGTTATGCGATTGCAAATGGAAATACTTTCATCTTGGAAATACATTTTACAATTACTTTCTAAATATATTTGCTGTAATGAAACAGAACAAACTCTATTAACTCGCAGCGTTAAGCGCGTGCATTTTTAGTCACGGCTCGGCTCACATGAGCCAGCTCCGAGCATGGCTCCAGCCATGCTCAGGATTTCCATGAGCTGAGTCAAGCCACGTCTGAGCAGCTCATGCGTCATTGGAAGCAATCGAGTGGTCCAAAACCAAGCCGAGCTTTGATAGAGGCCAAGCCAGAGAACCTATCTCTGAGGCTCATCAATGAATTAATTAAGGTTAGATTGGTTCGGTGGAATCAAAACTGTTTTCACTGTGACTTCGCTTTTTAAGGTATGTCTTGTCAATTGCTCTGCTACTCCCAAACTTTCCAAAAGCAATAACCTATTGCCAGTAAGCATTTATATCACTCAAATACATACACGTAATTAAAAGAGTGTATTAAATTGTAAAATATTTTTTGCTATATTCGTATACGTATACAGTCCAAACCTCTGTGCCACTTAATTTTTTAAATACTTATTTTTACCTGCAACATGGAAGTCAATACTCATATATTGAAAAGTATTTTCTGTAACGAAGCAAACATCAAAATACCACAACCATCAAAGACGTATATAACCAGTTATTTGTGCGTATTAAAAATACATACATTTTTATGAAATACGTTTTTGTTTGTCATCTGATAAAACATACTTTGGGATGAAAACTATGTTTGGTGCACTGCACAAAACACATGAAACGAAAGCAAATCAAGAAAATAGGCAATATTATTGTACATTGATAGCCTCAGGAAACGTAAATATGTGATAGGAAATCAAGATAATTGGATTATTGTGATTTGTTTTATTTTGAAGGTGAACACACTGGATGCTTCAGAAATAATATGAAATTGCATTTTTTCTTTTCATCATTTATAGCACACCATTAGGAATGAGAAATCACTTTAATTTAATCAAATTAAGCCCAACCTTTGCACGTGGTGTGACGTAAAATGACAGGCATGTTGTATATAACATATGCAGGGTAAATTATTTGTACTCGGATGTTGGCACAAATGCAATTTAGCTAGCACCCACCTTCGCATACTGAAATGCACAGACATGTACTCACCTGCACACACATGCACCCACAACATTCTCAATGGGGTTCAAAAGTTCTTTGAAGGGAGGTCTTCTTTGGAACATATGGGTATGTGTGGAATTAAACCAAAGTACCTGGGGAAAAGCTAAATAGAAAATAATATAATTTCAAAAAGCCAGACGTATAAATTATCAAACCAACTTGATGTACTGCCTTCAGGAAGCCACCTTGTAGCCACACAGAAGTGTATCTCATACCTATGAGAATCACTACGTGATTCACCAACGCCATCTCCAGATTCCAGATGTGCATCCACACATGGCAAAGTTTTTTTGATTAGAAAACAATATCTATAAATAAGAAACTGATTTTACACAATTGGTTTCTTTCATGTTAGACTGTGTAACATGTGTGTTGTAAACCCTCCTCTAGCCGATACAGCCAATTAATAAAAGTATCACGTGAATAAAACTAGGCAAATGTAATACTGCCTCAGCAGCACCGGTTGTTGTGCTGAGGCAGTAATACATGTTTTATTCACATTAAACATTTCACGATTTCCATTTATAAGGCACAATTCCTCCAAGGATCTCTCAGTGCGCCATGTTATTACTTCGCCGTTGGATGGAGGATGCTTCATGAAATACACATTTACAAGAAACCAAAAGAAACAAGTTATGAATATTGGTTGTGAAAGCCTACATATTAAATACATTTTGCATTTATTGAAAAAGGAAATTTAACACATGACACGCATGTTAATTTCAAGACAAATAGAATTTTTAAATATTACTCAAAAGAAGCAAGATACATTTTTATGGGGAAAAAGTTAAAGGCTTCTCAGTTGTGGTACCCTAGGAATATATCATGTGATGTGGCCGTATCACTTAATTCACTGTAGGAATCGATGGGGTTCAGGGCAAACAGCACTTGGTGCAAATATATAGAAACTTGGCTTGGAAGGATTTTTGCAAAGTGTCAGGTAACAAGATCCCGAAGGAAGCATTGGTCATCACACTTGAAATGAACGAGCAAACGGTCACGGTGAGGGCTTCTTGATTACACTGAAGAAGTAACAAAAATGGTCTTAACATGCCCTTGATTTCGGTCTGAAAAGCAACTTCAAGCTTTCCATTTCACAGCCTGCTTGGCAGAGACTGGCTGGCAGGAGGAATGGAGGGCAAACCCAGCACCAAACCAGCTCCTTATCTCGGATCCGACAGTGTCCTCCACGCCTCATACCGGCACGCTGTCAGTGGGCCTTGCTGAACGGGTTCCGGACAGGGCAAAGTCTCTGTTTTGCCAATCTCCACCGTTGGGGTTTTCATGACTGTGGCACGATACAATGTCGCATAATGTTGATGACTATCCACCAACTTAGTGGAGGTCTATGAGAACTACACGTGGCCACTGAGGATGCTATCGTATTGCTCGGCGATTAAGCACACGTTGACTGATACTGATAACGATACTATTCATAAGTGTTTTAACTGATGTTCATGGTATACTGCTGATGATGGAAGACAGAAGGGATAAAGTTAGATATGATGGTTAACATTAATGTTGACTTAAAGGTGGGGGGAAATTCCCGAAACCAAATTGAATCCACATCCTCAAATAACAATTGTATGTCTGGGCCGTTCAATATGCTTCCCGTTGTGAATTTTTTTTTTCCTGCACAGAAAATAACACGTTAACAATAACATTCTGCATTCACTTGTGAATTGATCCCATTCGAAATTTGGCTAAAAACATTAAAAAAAATATGATGTAAGCCGCCAGTAAAAATAATCAGCACCACATGACTCCAAAGCTTCTATTGGCTACTACTCCAAAAGATCCACAGAGACGCAATGTTTTAATTGTTCAAGGATTTATGTTGCTGGGGTAGATGTCCTGATTATCATGATCATGATCAAGCAAAACACAGATGCAAAAAAAAGAGAATAACTTGCTGTTTATTTAAATTTAATGTTGAGTGGTACAGAAACACCAAAACATCTCACTACTTCCATTTCCACTGACAAATACAATTTTATTTTACTTTCACTATTGATTGTAATGTTCAACTGTTTAATGATGTTCAGTGCTGAGATGTACTTTATACTCTCCTATGCCATCTGCACAATGTTCAGTTATTGGCAACCACAGGGGTTAGATAGTGAGGTTGTCTGGCTGCCGTGGAGGTGGGGAAATGGGCCGATTATATATGTAACACAATTTTTGTTCCTGGGTAGTAAGTGTTATTTTTAAATTGCTTATGCCGAAAAAGTATAGAAAATGGCTATTATTCCCCACAAATTTAGCTTTTGTGACCAGGACTTTATGTGAACGAAACACACAAATGCCCACGTTTTCTCATTGAAAATAGATACATTTCAAAATATCACTGTCCTGGTCACAAAAGCAAAGTTTGTGGGGAATAATAGCCATTTTCTGTACTTTTGAGGCATAATCAATTAGGAAATAACACGACCCAGGAATATTTTTTGTTGTTGTTACAAAGTGAATGATTGTAACCGAGGTTTCGTGGTTTGATCCTGCAGGTCTCCATAGTTAATACTGCACGTGCATAAACCATGAATATAAGCCGCCTCCTTTACAGTGGATGTTAAAGATCCCGTGATGCCAATGGAAACGAGTAGGCCGATGTTTGTGCGCGTCATGGTCAAAACTTGCAGATTCGAAACATGACCTGCAATTTAGTCGATTGGAGTTTCGCATAGCAATCATCACCCCCATACTGGCAAACATGCACACTTGTAGGCCAGTTCTGGGTCACCTTGTGCTGCATGAGGACAGCTGCTGAGGGGCAGGGGGGGGGTCCTTTTAATGTTTGAGATGAGATGGCGCTTTGAGCTGCTGCTGTATTTAAACAATCGCCATATAAAGCAACGAATAAGGAGAGCCGCTGACCCCGTGCACGCACGTGCATATGTAGAACTTCTTTCGCACCATACGTAGCCAACCGTGATGACCGGAGATGTACATAAACGGCACGAGGCGAGGGAGAGGAAGGAAGATGCATGGAAAGACAAAGCCTAAGCGGTAGCCAGAGAGCATTGTGAAGCCGCCGCCTTGAGGGAGCGCCGGGCCATCTCGAGCGCCCCGTCCCGCGTGCTGTGGCCTCCAATGAAGCCGCCGGCGTGCACGAACACACAGCCGGGGATGCCGCAGTGGGAAGACAGTGCTTCGTCGCGTAGGCCTCGCCACGACTCCGGCAAAGACAGCCTGGGAGGGCACGGTGTGTGGGGGACCAGGGAACAGGGGAATTACTCCTCACCCACACCCATTCATGCGTATGTACGTTGAACTTCTTTCACACCGTACGTCGCCAACAGTGCTAATCGGAGGTGCTATTAGTACGGTTGGGATGCATCACTTTCCATGATTCAATATCGAATAATGTATCAAATTGATAATGCTTAAAATGCAAATGAGTACAGTAAAACCTTGGATTGCGAGCATAATTCGTTCCGGAAACGTGTTTGTAATCCAAAGCACTCGTATATCATTTGTGATCACGTGACGCTCGGCAGACAAAGCGTATACGTACTACTCGTATTGCAAGACCTCGCTCGTTTATCAAATGAATATTTATTTTAAAATTTTGCTCGTCTTGCAAAACACTCGCAGACCAAGTTACTCGCAATCCAAGGTTTTACTGTATATGAATGCACGTTTATTTAAGGCTACTGACTTCCCCACTTTTGTGGAGAAGTTGTCATATGGATACGCTCTCCCCCGCCATAGGAATGTGTCATTTCCACCACTTTCCGGGGGCTGTAAACGGGAAATTAGCACCAACGCCTCATCGTTAATTTTAGCAAGGGATTACTACGACTGATGACGACTTTGATGACAACGAAGGTGGTAAGGCTTTCTTATTTTGCTTGTTCTTCGTATTGTGCATCGAGCGCTCTACCCTAGCACCACCTGGGCAAGTCAATGCACTCAATGCGAGTTGCAATATTCGCACCTGTTCTCGAAGGAGTGCACAGCGACCGGCACGCACTGCACTCGCCAGCTGCCCTTCTGGTCCGTGAAGATGGCATACTTGATTGCCTTGTCAACGGACAGCGTCTCCTCAAGCGTGAAGAGGTGCTCCTTCCAGGGGCATCCACCTGCTTCAAACTCCACTATCTCTCCACCCTCATCCACCTTGGGCGGCACAAAGACAAAGTCCCACATACATATCCATGGTTACTTACGCCAGGGATCCTTTCTATCGCTGCCAATGGGTTAACGGGAAGGCATGACCCAAAACACACGTGTACTTTACATTCAGGATCACTTTGTGGGAGGTCATCAGTGGTTGCCCTATAGAGGGACTGACCTCAACACTGGGAATGTACAACAGCTGGCCCAGGGTCACTGATGAAAATCAGCACTGCACCTTTGCTTGTTTCAGCAGGGAAAAACTTTGATTAGACTATTTATCAGTTATCACTGTGACTCCAATCTAGTCAGCCGATTGTGAATTTGGTGAAGTGTGACCTGTTCATCATATCACCGACTACTGCCCATTACACCCTTGCACAGGAGGCACGGACACTGTACATCAAGCAACTCCTGATGCTATCGAATGCATCACAAAAACTCAATGTACAGCTATACGATTTTGTCAGTTGCTTTTCAATTGACACACAAAATAAGAATAATCCAATCTAGAGTGCCACAAGGTGACACTTTTCAAATTCATATGAATAACAGCAGCGCAGTCCACACAATGCACGGTTGCACAGTGTTATGCATACAGACAATGCACGGTGCATGTAGCTACAGCACCTTGTGGCGGGAAAGGATGGCCATCTCGACGAGTTGCCGTGCAGGCAGCCAGGCCTTCCAGTAGAAATGCAGCCTGTCCAGGAACTCCGCTCCCACCATCTCCACCGCCTTCCAAAATCGCTTCTGTAGTTAAAGACAAAGATCCCCTGTATAGCCTTAAGACACTCTTGGGGCAAGTGCTGTTAGCGAGCACCTATGAAGGCTAACGTTGCACATGAGGAGGTGGGTGGCCAGCGCCACGCCTGGCCGCTTTTGTCTCCCCAGTGCTCATGTTTAGATACTGCACTAGCTACCCACTTAAGGCTGAGTCGATCTAGCGGAGGCCCAGGACTGGTTCAGATAATCGTCACTGGTGTTGGCCGTGAGCCGGAATCGAACTCAAATCTCTCGGTTCGTAGCAAGGCACACATTTACAAATTTAGAACTTATTATCTTGGGTTGCCTTATATTTTTGTGACAGAAAATATTGACCAGGTATGTACGTGTGGAATATAGGAAAGCAAAGAATTGAAAGTGTGAGCATGAATTTTTAACTATAATAAATAAATCAGGATAATGCAGGGAATGGTTTCAAAAACTTTTGTTGAACCAGGTGAGAAATCAACGTAACATGAAAATCTCATTTTCTCCAAAATGAAAAAAGCTAAACGAAGTACTGCAATGAAGCAAATACAAGTCTGAACAAAAGCAACTGTGTAAAGACTACTGCATGTTTCTTAAGCGAGATAAGAGTTGGGGAGGAGTGTGCAAGGGGATGGGGAAAAGGTGTTATTGTGCTGCACTCCACATGACGAGTCTACAAGCTGGCTGTCTTGTAGTCTATAGGCTGGATGATGATTGCTGATCAACAACAGTCTGGAAGTTAAATTCACTTGAGGCTAAGGGGGTAGTGGGTTGCTGGGTCAGCACTTAAGAACACTTAAGAACCCACCGATATGCATTATTCCACGTGTAATGGCACACTGATTAGCCATACATTTGCATGAACTTGTTAACTTTTAAAGTCAATTGTGGGAACCCTTCAAATTTGGAGAACGGGTAATGAAACATCAGAGTGGCCTAATCGTGGAAATGTTTACCCACAAGAATATGACAAATGGATGGCGAGCTCTGAGATATTCCTCAGTCATCGCATTTTAGCAATGACTCATACACCAAGAGATACTCTTTGCTTGTTTCGGTTAAGTCACGTAGGTAGAAAAAATAATAACAGATCACGACGTTTCGATCGCAACACAAGCAACCGTCATCAGGTGCGAAACAAACACAGCAGGAGAACTACCGAAAGAACCAAAGAGTATGGATTCCTTGCAGTCACGAAAGCTTCAAATCAACACCAAGAGATACCTGATTTAATAGCCTACGGAGGTACTTATGAAGATATATCTACAGGCGCTAATGAAAACACATAGATCGTTTCATCATTTAACATTCAGGGTTTTAGTTCCAGCTGTAAACATTTTAGATTGTACCGAGTTGCAAAGCAATTTTACCTCTCATGAAGGTCAATAACGTCCACACAATTAATTTATCTTCGGGCAGCCACTGCTCTCAAATCCACATAACTCTTAATATTATGAATAATCACCTTACAAATATTCTGCTATTATTTTTGTCGCTAGTAAATTAAGTGCAATAGGCCAGCCAAGGCAACTATGGGTAACAATTGTGCCATTATTCTCTGAGAGAGAACTTGAAGTCACTACAAGGCAAACTTAATCTCCCTGTCTCTATAGTTAAGAATTTTGCGTGTTTTTTTGGACCATCTGTTCATTATTAAATAGCGGCACAAGTATGCTGCTGAAACAAAGGTATGCATCAAATATATAACAAAAAATAATCGCATGACAAGAGCACTCTTTTTCAAGGCCCTGTTATCTGTACTTTCTAGTATCTGCATACTCTCCGTGACCTACATAGCTTCTTCCTATTACCTGTGCACTGCATGCCTACAATTAGCCAATCCTTTGCGTAGATGAAAGGAATTGATTTAGGGGTGACAGCAAATGAATCCCATGACAATATATGCGTTTATCTGCACTTTAACTCTATATGGGATGAGATGTGTCTGACTGTAATCATCCATGTTTTGTACCAATTTGTTTAAAATCAAATACATGTTATATTAACATGGTAATATCCTAATTGCTTCGGCGCTGCAGCACAACAACAGTAGCTTCACCCCCCCTACTCCACACCCCCCGCCCCCTGCATCTCTCCTCCCTGCCTCCTCTCCCCCCTCTTACCTTATATAATTGCTTGTCACAAACAGCTCTCTTTGCCCACTACAGTAATGTTGTTTCTTGCTTTGGTTATCCCACCTGATGACGGACGCTTGCTGTTACTTCCGAAACGTCGTGATTTAATTTAGTTATTTAAAAAAAAATTTCACCTACGTGACTTTACCGAAAGAACCTAAAGAGTATGGATCCTTGCAGTCACGAAAACTTCAAATCTAGAACATGTTCATGTGTGTAGTGAAAATGTATGCCTGTGATTCAGTGCTCCTTAACCTGGGGTGCATGCATCCCCTAGGGGTGCGAAATGCTCTTTCTGGGGGTGCGAGACATGCAATATTATTTTAGAAGGTAAATCATCGAAAGACAGATTAAGCACAAGCATGTAAGTACAAATATGTAGTTTCATCAAACCGATGTATTTATGAACACTACACATTGTTTTACGATTGAGAACAAAAGAGGTGCAGGCTGCAGTAAAAGGTTAAGAACCTCTGCTGTAATCAAACGACTGGAAAGTGGGTATGGTGGATCACACAGAGATAGAGCTACAATGAGCTTTGTAAAGGATAGTAAAGCAAAGCAGGCGCTCTCTCCCTCCCCTAACCCCCTGCAGCATAACAAAAGGCGGCTTAACTTAACCCCCCCCCACGGCCCATCCTGGCTCCTCCCCCCCTTAACTTGTATATAGTCTCGTGTCTCTTAGAGCTCTCTTCACTTGATACAGTCATTTTGCTGTGACGGTTCCACCTGAAGACGGAAGCTTGTGTTGCCTCCGAAACGCCGTGATTATTTTTTTTATTCTTTTATTTTTCATCTACGTGACTTTACCGAAAAAAACCAAAGAGTATGGAACCTTGCAGTCACGAAAACTTCAAATCTAGAATCAAAACAGGTTATTGACCTATCTCTGTAGTGTTATGAGTATTATATTATCAGTTGCATGACTTTCTAGGAACTACGTGATTTTTCTTACATCCTCATAAGTATAACCTTATCTGAGAAAGTTATGAGACTCATTGATACATCCCTGGATAAATCATGTCCTAGCACCACAATAAATTATTCCCTTATCAACAAATTACCTTTTTTAATTTAGTATTTGAATTAATGTCAATGCTATATTATACATAAATAATATATACATGCATATTAATGAATTAACTTTATCTCTGTCTCTTCTGCTGTATCAATAATTATGCCTTATGCATAGCAAATGTTCTGTGTTTCAATGCAATCCCAACCCAACTTTCAATACATTCATTTGTAAGCACACATCAAGGGTCATTGATTTAAAGACATTCAAATTTCAAGCAGACATGTTTCAATACCAAATAATTTACACCAACTGCTGAGACCAACGTCTACTGACTCAAGACATTGCATGACTATAAAATATGTGCTTCGCATAAAGAAGTTCACGGTGTATCCCAAAAAACAAAAAGTGTCACACCTAATCTTGCATTGAATTGCATTGTGCTCCTCTTGTCTCCCGTCACCTGCTAGTCAGCCAGACACATTTATTTTGATAGCGACCAAAGACGAGAGGACCACAATGGAGTTCTTCAGGAGCTGCTGATGGTTTTTGTTGCAAAGTGTACAAAGGAAGAGTGCTTTTTAAATCCTTTATATTAAGTTCACTTGCTTGCTTGCGCGCTTACGACCGTGCAAATCTTTCGGTCGTTTTTTAACCCACTTCCCGTGATCCAATCGAGCTGACATTTTGCACACAGACTCGTTGTGCGTGACAATTTATTTTCGTGAAATTTTTTTCTCCAAAATATTCAACATTTTAGGATTTTTTTTTTATATTTAATTACCAATTGCTTAATGGTGGCAGGCAATCATCTGACCCATAAGTGGCAGCCATCTCAAGCCAGATGACGAGAGGACTCTAGCCACCACGCATATAAAGGATTTATAGTGAAAAACTTTGTTTTTACGGGTTACTTTTTACACGTTTCTGTGTGTTATTTTAAACCAAATCTTCGACCAATGTCAGGAAAATTTCAACACAAAATATGGACACGGAACTGTGGTCAGTGGCTGGCTTACTGAGATAATGTGTTGGGCATGTCAGAGCACTGAGCCAGCACTGTCAAGATAGTGCGTATTGAATCCTGAGCTGTCGCAACGGATGAAGTCTGCTCTCCATGCGGGACCAGATTGTCAGCTCAGTCACAGACAAAAACATTATTGTAAAAAAATTATAAATGCTTTGCATTGCATACATTTAAAAATTCACGCAAAGGTCATTGGCATTTATGCAATGCACTTTTCAATTGAAGTGAATCTACTTAACATTTCATTATTACAACTATACCACTTTTGGCACAGAATCTTTATATTATTAAAATGTTCAGAATGTACGAATCCGTCTGAGAACAACAGTAATTAGAGAGTACGACTTGTAATTGTCTGCGTGTAGTTAAAATCCCAGTTGGGCATTGCTGCAACCATTTATCCCTCCATGGTCAGTAAAATAAGTACCAATTCTGGTGCTGTGGCATTACTACAGGAAAGTGTACATTTCACCACTGGTTCAGGGTTGTATACAGGGGATGAGCAATACCCAACACTAAAGTGAGCGAAAAACCACTTCTATACTGTACCTCCGCTTTATTTTTCAATCTTCTCGGTAGTCTACAGCGCATATGAATGAATCTGCACTAAAAAACGCACCTCCTTCTCACGTTTATTTAGCTCATTTGCACGAATGAATTTACATAACCAATACTGCTTTCCCGTGAGCTAATTCGATTTTTTCGGCAAAAGTCACGTAGGTAAAAAAGGAAAATAAATTAAATCACGATGTTTCGGAGGCAACACAAGCTTCCATTTTCAGGTGGAACCGTCATAGCAAAATTACTGGACCATTGCAGTCAC